TATGCAGTATCATTATATAGAGAATTTGTCTTTTGTTTTAAAATTCGTGAAGGGATTGGTTTAACCAAAACAACAGAGACTGATTCACATGGAATATATTTCTTTAGGACGTAGTTTCCGGGTCAACAATGTTATATTCAATTCACAAATATAGAAGCAGCATGTGACATGAAAAGAATGGATACGCGCTGTTCTAAGAGTATCAAGTACTTTAGAGCGGATTTCGTATGAGTGGGAAACGGACGGTACTGTACTGTGACCGTAATCGTATGTAACAAAATTCTAGTGCCCCATTGGTTCACCAAAATTATGAAGGCCAGGTCCGGTAACTGTGCGGTAACCGTGCGTTAACGGTGTCCCACTCATACGAAATCCGCTCGATTGTGTCATTGAAAAGGTTTTCGCAGAACAACAGTACAAAATGATATTGGTAATCCGACCATTGTTACTGATTTCCCACCACGAACTTTAAAACAATTGCTTTTCAGTTCTATTTAATGTGCTGAATTTAACGAACCTTAACTTAAACCCCGAAAAGGTGTTTTTATGATAAGAAAACTGAGTCGTCTCTAGCTTAAAAAATAAAATTTAATGCAGACGTTTCGATCGCAACTGCGATCTTCTTCAGTGCAGTGGCAAAAATGCAAAGTGCGCACGCGCGACTATCGGTTTACACAAAGAATAACAATGATTAGCGCGCGCGCTGTTTACAAGAATCTAACAAGGTTTTATATAACGCGGGATTTGAGTTCTAAAGTTCCCCGAATGTTCGTCAAGCTCAGAATGCCAAGCTTTGAGAAAAAGTCTTTGATGGTAATTATGTTCGGTAACGGCAACAGAATCATCTCCAAGACGGCTCTCACAACGTCGTACAAAAGACTCCGGGTAGATATTGTCCTTTAGTACTCGTCTTAAATGAGTAAGCTCGGCTTCCTTGTCGGCCTCAGTAGACGGTATATCCCTTGCACGGCGGAGGAGAGTGTTTACCGCAGATCGTTTGTGGGTACTTGGATGATGAGAGTTGTAGTCTAGGTATTTTTCTGTGTGTGTTGACTTTCGATAGACGGTGAAAGTATAATGCCAAGAAGCTTATCAACTATTATCAAACATTGAAATTCGCCAAGTGCACATGCTCAGCGGTTCGAAGTAGAGACTCTGCAGAACCAGAGCTACTCGGTCAATTTGGCCCAAAACTAATCCCACATTTCAGTGTGACTGAGACGATAACGAGACCGTTCATTGCAGAGGTAAAAAGAAGACAGCTGTAGGGACATTCAATTGTCCCTACTGGAAGCAAAGGTTTCCTTTGCATTCCGTTCCTCATTAATGACATGAGGGACGATTAGTCTAATCTTCCCTCATTTTATTATGCTATTCATGAGGGAGGGATATTCGCTTGTAAACATCCTTCGGAAGACAAAAGAATCCGAGGTGATCATGGTATTACTTATCAATATGATTTTATATATTTCTACAGAAACGAAAAGCGAGGCAAGCCCTGTTTCAACGCAAGGCAATTGTAAGATTAACTTGTCGATTTCCTATGCAATGTACTGAAAACTGAAACAATTTCAGTCGACTTTTTTTTATTAACTATATATTCTAGGCAATACTAAAGTTGGTGTACTGAGCGCGTTCTTGGCTCTTTCTTTGATCACCATTGTAATGCTCTTGGCTTTCATGATATGGAAACATAGGAGGACGAACTCACAAAACTCAAAACTACAAGAGTAAGTACTCAACATTT